GGAAAGTGGGAGCCCCTCCCTGATAACCTTCCTAAACCTCTGACCTGCCTTAGTTGACTCCAAAGGGATTTGATGAGCCAGGATGCTGGTAGATACCTCTAATCCCAGAACTTGGGGGGCTGAGGCAGGAGGATGTCCACAAATTTGAGGCCAGCCTAGACTACACAGCAAGACCCTGTCTCAGAAAACAAGATAAATAAAAGGATTTGGCTTCCCCCATTGGTTTGCTTCTGTCAGGGATGCCTGGCCTCACTTCTGCCCTTCAGCCCCTTCTGGTCCTCTCCAGGGACCCATAACCAGCTTCTCCCCATCTTACCATTCCTACCTTTGCCAACATGGTAGAATTTGACAACCCTCTCCCCTGAGTCTTGACAGCTTTAAAGCCAGACCTTTGTCTCAATTCTCCCAACAAAAAGAGTCAAACTCCACTCTTTTCAGAATAATTTTTTTTTCTCTGCCAGGCTCATGCTTCCTTCTGCTTTCAGGAGACCCAGTTAAGCAGTTAAGCTTTCTAGTCTTCAGTTCCCCAGGCGAGGTTGTTCTTGTCCTGTTTTATGACCCTGCTAGGATGAGGAACTTCCTAGGATGCTCCACTGGCCCACTGGCCTGTAAGTGACAGAGGTAGGCAGGCAAGGAGGAAGAGGGAAAGTGGTGGCACTGGGCTCACAGGAGGCCAAGATCCCTGCAATCAGGACAGGTCACAGACACAGACCCCAAACTTGGGAGTCCCAGAAGTGTATATGTATAATATAACCCTTCCCCTACCCCAAGCACACAAATCCCAGTCATCTGGATATCCATATTATACCAGAGAGTGGCCAGGATAGATGGAGAACAGTTCATACCATTATAAAAATAAAGAGGTAGGGATGTTTAGATAGCTCAGTGAACCAAGAGCTTGCTTAGGCAAGCACAGGGACTATGTGCCGCGCGGGCCCCACCCCCGGGCAGGCTGTGCTGGCCACTGAGACAAAGTGTGGTGGTGCACTCTTGTAATCCCAGCACTGGGGAGGCTGAAAACAGGAGGATCACTGAGTCCAAGCTGCGTAGTGAGACCCTGTACCAAATACATTAAAAAATAAAGAGGTAATTTTAAAAACAGAGACTGGGCGTGGTGGCACACACCTGTAATCCCAGCTCTTGGGAGGCTGTAAACAGGTGGATCACTATGAGTCTGATCTAGTAATGAGACCCTGAGCACCCTGTAGACCCTTCCCTAAAATGCAATACATAAATAAATAAATAATAAATAAATGAAAAGCAAAAACAATTAACTTTCATTTGGGTGTGGTAGCACATGCCAACAATCCCAGCACTCTGTGAGGCTGAGGCAGGAGGATGTCAAGTTTGGTCCCAGCCTGGGACAACTTAGTGGCTTAGAGAGAACCTGTCTTTAAAAATTAGAGGGGGGATGGGCCTATGGTTCAAAAGGATTAGCCATTTCAAACTTCTCTGTAACCAGTGCACTTGTACAAGATGATGGGGTGTCTAGGTACAGTGGTGGTGTGTGCCTTCAGCTACAGGGGAGGCTGAGGCAAGAGTACTGTGTGAGCCCAGGAGTTCAAGCACAGCCTTGGTGACAAAGTAAGAACATGTCTCAAAAAATAAAATGCAATCAGTTGGAGTGGGCATAGGCTGGGGATGCCCATAGGCTCTGTCTCTGTGTCTCTGTCTCTCTGTGTCTCTCTGTGTCTGTCTGTCTGTGTCTGTCTGTCTGTCTGTCTGTCTCTCTCTCTCTCTCTCTCTCTCTCTCTCTCTCTCTCCTCTCATTTCATCTGTCATCTCATCCACTGGGTATATATTCCCAGAGTTCTACTTAACTTAGCAGAAGCATATCTGTATTCCCTGAATTGAAGTTATTGTGCAGTTGCTAAGCCTGTATAATATCCAAGATCTTTGGAGGGAAGGGCAGAAAGAGGCCAGAGTTCCCAGGGAGCTCCCAGAACAGAACAAGTGGCTCCCATGCCCAGGGGAAATGAGTAGACCAGACAGGGCTGATGCTTGGCCAGATATATCAGACAGAAAATGACTCCCCAGCTCCTTCTGCAAACATCCCTGACTCTGGGCCCCTACTGACTTTTCTCATTAGGCTGTAGTTTCCGTTAGGCCTGTGGTGTGGAGAACATACCCATCTTGTGTCATATCCTCTTGAATAAAAAGGTTCTGTGCCTTCCAGACTGGTGTATTAATAATAGACAGAAGAAATTTGTACCTGTGGATCTTTCTCTTCCCTCTGAGGTACAAAATGTACATTTTAACTGGAGAGATCTAGAGATAATGTGTCCATCTCTGTGTTTTTTTTTTTTTTTTTTTGCCATAAAGTATGTTTTTTCTTTCAGCTCAGGCAGAACAGAAAGATATTATCAGGGGAGAGATTCTGAAATCAGCAGAGCCAGACAGGGCACAGAAATTGCGCCATCTTGCTACCTGGCTGGGCTGTTCGTCACACATATGGTGGAAGAAGGAAAAGGACAGGAACGGGGATCTGGAGATAAGCCCTCAGGAGGAAAGTGTTCTTCCTTTCCCACCAGCCTGAGGCTCTTTCAGGGGTCATCCAGACCTCTGCTGAACCTCAGCGCCTGCTCATGATAACTGCTCCAGTGAGTGCCAGTGGCTGCCACTCTCGGACTCAAACCAGTACGTGCACAACTGGGACCATGTAGAGCAGGCAAGCAAATGATGGTGATGGGAAGGCAAGCAACGACAGTGATGGACAAAGACAGTCCTGATGTCGCTGCTGAATGCCTTCCCCCTCCCCCCACCTTGGTCCATGGTCCATGCGCACCCACTTGCACACTGACATGCTGGCCCAGGCTGACGTCGTTGCGGTCTGGGGCCTTCTGCGAAGAGACGCAGAGGCAGGGCTACAGGGAGGGGCTCGAGAGGCCAAGGAAAGGGGGAACCGCAGTCCTAGAGGAAAGGTAGGAACAGGGGGTGAGGCAGATCTCCAGGTGGTGAGAGCAAGGGGCTAGTGGGGCTGTCACTAGGGGATGTCAGGGAGCAAGAAAATTACCCTGACAGGATGAGGGCTTACTGACCATCCCCGCCCCCCACCAATACCCCGCCTCCGTCCTTGAAAGGGGTTTGGGAAGGGATGGGGATGAATGGGATGACAGATGGCGACCACTGAGGATACCTGGAGCAGGGGTCCTGAGATCTTCGAACCGGCTCTGCGGTGAGGTCCTCCCTACCTGTCTGGGGAGCTGCCGTTTAGGCCTAAAAGATCACCCTTGGTCCGCAGCTCTCCTTTCCGACGAGGGCCAGAAGACGGATTGCTGCAGCAGATGCGGCTACTACCATCGTCCATGCCCGTGGGCGGCGCCGCTGTCCGAGCTCCGGTGCTGAAGCAGTGGCAGCAGAAGGCTCATGCGCATGCGTCACCGCCAGCGGCCTGTCGCTGGGCGGGGCCGACGGGAAGCTCAGCCAATAAGCGCGAGGCCATGGTGGGCGGGGCCCGAAGCTTCCCGCGGCGCCGCCGCACTGGGCCAGGGGCTCGCTGTCAGTATGGTTGTGGGTGTATGGCGCTGAGGGGGGGGTGATGCTGGGCGCTCTGGCTCCCACAGCTCTCTTAGCTCCACTCAGCGCCCTCCTCTCCTCCCCAGGGGTGTTGGGTATCTGTTTGAAACGGGTCTTTTCTTCCGGTCCGTTTGTTCTGGATCTACGCCCCTCCGCGGCGGAGTCACTGCTCAGTTATTGAAGTGCGCAATAAGGGGAGGAGGGAAGGAGACGAGGACGCGCGAGGGAAGGCCCAGCCCGCATCCCCGAGCCACTGCTCCCCCCCACGCGCCCAGCCCGCATCCCCGAGCCACTGCTCCCCCCCACGCACCCAGCCGGGGAGGAAGCCGCGCATTGCGGGACACCTGCTGGCTCGCCCTTCAGGGGAATAGCAATGAGGGCGAGGACTGCAGGGCGCTTCGGGAGGGACTAGCCGCAGAAGGGCCTGGCCAGAGGTCTGCGAGAAACAGCAATAAATATCAGCCTTGAGAGAAGCCTGGGAGTGGAGTGTCCCGGATGTGGGATTTGGAGGGGCAGAAAGTAGGCTTGTTCGGGTGTGGTTGCACAGGCATGGAGGAGGTGCCTTGGCTGAAAGCATAGACTGGGAAATCAGAACCAAGAAGGTTTGGACTGTAGATATCCCTTCATTGCAAGGCATAGCTCATAGGGATGAGGTCTGGGAATCCAAAGGTGTAGAAGTGTCCTGAGTAGCTTACAGTTTGGTTTGGAAAGATAAAGAGCCAGCCCATAAATTGGTGCCATCTGGGCAGGGTGAGATGAGGCTCTTGAGATCAATACCAGCTTTTGTGTGTAGCTTGTAGCATAGAAGGTGCAGTGCATAGAGAGGAAAGACCACTCACTCTTTCTAATAGGCTTCAGGAGGTGGCGAGGCTTCAGCCCGCTTAGAAGGCAGAGCTTTGAAAATGTGGAGGTGGGGGCCAGGGAGATAGCTCAGTAGAATAAGTGCTTGCCTGACAAGTGCAAGGGCCTGAGTTCAACACCCAGTTCTAAAAAAGAAAGAAAGAGAAAAAGAAAAAGGAAAAAAAAAAAAAAAGAAAGAAAATGTGGAGGTAGTAGAAAGAAGGTATTCCTGGCCTGAGGCAGAAGATGGAGCACTGCAATCTAAATTAAGGAGAATGGAAACATCAGTATATTTTCAGGGAATGGTTGAGAAATACACGTGGGTGGTAGGGAACCACTGATATCTTTGGATGTGTAGAAAATGAAGTGTGCGAGCTGGAACCTGAGAAGGGCCATCAGTTCCAAGGGTGCATAGGATGGGGCAGAGGACTTGGACTTCATTTGAGGCCTTTGATGAGAGAGGCAGAAATGGGAAGGAGGGTGGCCTTATACAGCCACATGCTTTGGCTACAACTGACCTAAGTAAGCTTCTGAGAATGCTAGACTGGATGCTTTATTTTCATAGCAGAGGAACTCAGACATAACTAGGTCCCTGAGTTGAGTGTGAAAAAAGATAGACTCTTTTAAAATAGAATGTAGTTTCCAGGAAGCTGTTTATTAGGAATAGAAGATGTTGGTTCAGGTTCTGTTGTGGGCAGCATGGAAGCCCGTTGAGGCTTTTCTTATCTTCTCTCTTATTTTCTTCTTATTCCTCAATGATGTGGACCATGGGGATGCCCACAGTGCCCTGGACCATGGCCAGGGGGTGGTCCACCAGGTCCTGGTGGGGGGTGTGGTTTAGGACAGTGGCATGGGCCATGACCAGGGGGAGGTCCACCGGGTCCTGGTGGGTGGGCTGGTCTGGGACAGTGCCCTGGACCATGACCATGGGAGTGACCTGGAGGATGACCACCATGGCAGTGCCCCTGTGGAAAGCAAGAGGAGCAATATCAGAGTCTGAAACCAATGCCAGTTTTACCTACAATTGACTCTTTGCCCTACCACCACAGGGGACTTAGGAGTCATAGGCACTGGCGTGGGGTTGTAGTGAAGGGCTGGGCTAGCAAATGTAGTGGAAAGGGTAGAAGTGCTTGTTCTTGGCCCTGGGCCTTTGGCCCTGATGAAGCCACTTGAGTGCTGAGCACACAAAGGGGGAGGAATCTCAATTTATGTGTTCCAGTTCCTTGAGCTAACCCATGACTTCTAGTCTCTGGACCCCAGTTTATCTGTAATTAACAAGCAGAATTGTCCCATCTTTTCCTTTTTCTCACCCAGGAACTCTTGCAAAATGGTTAGAAGTTTTGTTGCACTAGAACTGCAGGTTCACTGAACTTAGGGGCAAGAATGAGGCTGGGGGAGGATGGGCAAGGACTATGCTAGCCCAGGATGGAGGAGACCAGGGGTAGGAGGCAGAAGGCAAAAAGGGCATGTTCCCTGCTATATACTGGGTACATTTGTACACACATGATCTGTGTGCCTTTACATACAAATGGCTATGTTTGAGTGCCAGCACATAGGTGGATGCCTATAAACACCTGCTGTGTATTCACATGCATGAATGGTTATGTATATATGATGATAGGTGTGTTGTGGGCTCATACCTCCCTCCAGCAGGTGTCAGACTCAATAAATTGGGAAGAATAGAAAATAAAGTCCAGGTTTTACCCCTCAGTTAGAAGAGAACTAGGATATGCATGGTTTAACCTGTCTTGGCTAAAACCAGTCTTGAAGCTCCAAAGGCAGGGGAGTTTCTTGTCTCTTGCCATGGGCCCAGGGAAAGGGAGATACCATCTTGCCTCTGTGCTGGAGCCCAGGGCCTTGTGGAGCAGGAGTGGATAGCTCTCCACTCTGCTTTGTGTCCTATTAGGGCTTAGGACAAGTGGGGAAGACATGGGCTTCAGGTTTGGGAGTTCCTGTGATCATGTCAGAGCAGTCCCTGCCTCAGCCAGCCACTTCTTGCCTCTTCTTCTATGGTTCTAATTGTGGGGAGGCTTGGAGCTAGTGGGCTGTGGTAGCTGATGGGGAGGGGGTGCCCTTCCATGGTGGGAGCTATCCTAGAGGCCTGGCAATGTGGTTAGGACATGGGAGCAAGCCAGCTATCCAGCAAGGCTGTGGGGATAGCAGCCAGGAAAGCAGAGGAACAGAACAGGCGGGGAAGCAGCAGGAGAGAAGATGGGCTGCTGGAGCAGGGAGGGGAAGTGAGGGAAGGAGAGAGACAGATGGGAAAACAGAGGAGAGGAGCCAAGGAGAGGGCATGGCAGGCAGGGGCCGGATGAATGCATGGGTGCCCCGCCTCAGGGGCCACTGCCTAACCTGCTCTTGACTTTTCTTTTGAGGGAACTTGGGGGTCTAGGAAGGAGGTAGGAGGTCTGGAGAACATGGCATTTGGGAGGAGGGCCAGGGGAACTTTTTTACCTTATGACCTGTGGGAGAGAAAAAAGGAAGAGGTAGCTTAGGTCTCTGGGTCACAGCAATTGTGTGTCCACATCCCCACCCATGACAAGGCTCTTCAGAGTTGGTCACTTGCCTTGACAACCATTCCTTCATTCGTCACCCAACAACAGATTCATATTGAAAGTCAATATGAAATTCAGTGCTGCATCCTGTGTGCTCAAGAGCTGGCAGAATGCTCCCAGTGGTGTGGGGCCTGGCTGGAGGCCTGGATATTTGTCTGAGCCCTGGCAGCTGTCTGCCACCTAACCGCACTCCACTGCTGCAATCTCTGATTCTTCCTCTGTCACTGATTCCCTCATGTCCCCTGTGTCTCAGCCCAGTCTTTCCTCAGCCCCTGAGAACCCCTTGTTGGCTCCTTGCTCACAACCTTCTGGTCTCACTCTTACCTCTTGGCACTTAGTAATTTTTTCCAGCTCTGCTCTGCCTTGCGTCCTGCTGGAAATCTACTCAGCCTCAGCTTCCCAGCTGTGGGCCCAGTGAGCTCCTGTAGTAGCCACCTGAGTGGGCTGAAGAGGCTTCTTGGTGTGTTTCTTCAATGTCCTTTGAAAGTAGCCAGCACCATGGCTGCCAGCGCTCTAGACCTGGCCCTGCTGCTGTGGCCTCACCCACTAGCGTGCCCCTGACTTCCCTGGGCTTCAGCTGCCTATTTTCTTCCTGAGGTGGAAGATCTAGCAGATGAAGGCTGTGTAAACCTGTTTCTTAAGCTGTAAAGCCTTCTGCAGAAGGGCAGAAAGGGCTCATTTGTATCACAGGGCCACGCCTGGGCCCATACACCCACACATCTTTGGCACACAGTAGATATGGCTGACTAGTTGCCCTGTGCCCTTTACCGCTCTTCTTTTTTCTCTCACCCAGAGCCTCCCAGCCATTTGCTTACCTGGATCCATCTTTGTGGGGCAGGAGCAGGATGTGACACAGGGACACCTGTGATTCAACAAAGTGTTAGCTTCTAGTGCTCTCAGTCTGTCTCCTTCCTTGTCCCCTTCCAGGGATGCACACTCACAGCTCCTTCAAAGGATGGATGGGCTCAGGCTTCCCCTCTGGTATAACTTGGCACCTAGTGTGGAGCTGGCACCCTGGATGCTGGCACAGGTGTTAAATGGGTGTAGTGGTTTCACCCATGTGGGGAGAGAACAGAGACAAGAGCTGCATTTGCCTCTGGGTGTCACCCTGGGTCTTGGGTCCTTTACAACTGCCACCCCCAGATTCACCTGCAGATTCATGATTCCATAGGAGTCAATTTCAATCATATCCATTATTCATGTTGCATGCCTGCCATGTTCTAGGTCATGGTACCCCTTTCCTTAGAGGTCCCCGTGTAAACACCTGGCATAGGAGTGGGAGCAGGAGGTTTGGTGAGATAAAGTGTGCTCAGAGCAGGGCAGAGCAGGAAGGGCTGAAGGCCTTCTATGGCATCCAGGGGACCCATGTCTCTGGCCCTGCAGCAGAAGTGAGTAGAAAGCCTTCAAGGGTCAGAGCTGCCTATTATTATCTTCTTCCACCAGGACCAGAAGAGGGTGGGAGTCAGTGGTCTGAGCCAATTTGTCATTCACCAACATTCTCATCAGATGTTGCTGCCGAGGCCCAGCTCTTATTGGAGCTGGCATACAAGTCACGACAGACAACCCCAAAATGATCCCAAAGCAGACAGTACACATAAGAACCAAAACTTAGCATCAGGGCTCCCTTATACTCATATGATTGCTGAGCACATGGACTCTCACACCAGTGTGACAACAGCCCTGGCCACTTACAGGATAGATAAGATAGTCCCCTGTACCTCTTGAGCCATTTTTTTATTTTCTTGATGCTGGAGATGGGACATGGCCTTGCACACACAAAGGTGTACTCTGAGCTTCACTGCCAGCCCCACTGAACACGTCTTTAATAGCTTCTGCTTGTGCCCCGCACATTCAGTTTAAGCCAGCCTCTGAAGTAAGCCCAGGGGCTTCTTGTGCCTTCCTCCTTCCTCCTTAGTGATGTGGCTGCAAGAGATCATTGGGCTGGACTTGAGGGAGGTAGAGGTAAATAAAACCTCAGGGCTCGTCAGGATATAGGTTAGAAGAAGTGTTTGGCATATGTTTTCCCAGGTCAGGCTCAGGTCCATGGGGAACCAAAGCTGGCAGCTCTGGAAGGCACAGAATGCAGTCCTCCAGCGCTCTGCTGTGCCACTCTACCTGGTATGGCAGAGGCTGTAAGTCAACTATAATTTAAATAGGGAATAGAAGTACAGGGTCCCAGCACAGGAGGTGGAATGGGCAGATATGAACGCCGACACACAGCCACATGGCACTCAGACACACTGACCAAAATGTGACACCCCTGAGAGGCGGACCCTCACATGTACTAGTGTAATGCATATATACTTGCATACACGCACACATTCAGGGAGACCACAGACCCCACAGCCTATTTGCGTAGAGATCCTCCTGCTCCCACCCACAGCAAGCTGCATCAGAGTCTTACCTGAGAGTGCAGGGCAGGGGCAGGAAGTCTGAGGCTCTGTGTGTGCTCAGGTGTATTTGTATGGGATGCAGGGCTGGGGTGGATCAGATGCAGGAGGGCAGAGGGTGCAGGGGAATGACCAGGGATGGGCTTATCAGTATCATCTGGGCAAAGATCAACTAGAAGCAGGATGTGGTGTGTTTGTGGGTGAATGGAGGGAGGGTCAATCCATTACCATATTGGCCTGGTAATGAGATAGCATGGACCCAAACTAGGAGTTCCGGGACCTGGCAAAGGTGTTCAGCACCCAGAGCTGGCTTTAAAAATTTATAGAGCTCCCACTAAATGCCAGGCCCTACATGAATCCTTTATACACAATACTTAACCCAGTGACTCCTTCAGGTGAGTCATGATGGAGAAAGTGGCGACCCCAGCGGAAGGCCAAGTGTGCTCCTTGTCTTCATTCGGGCCTGGTCACTGCCCAGTCCAGGGAGCTTGCGTGGGGCTGGAAATCCCTCATGGAAAGGGAGACTCAGGATGGACCCTGACAACAGGGAATGGAGCCAGGGGTCTTTAGCTTTCTTGGGTTCTTGAGCCCCTTGGTCTGCTGTGGCACAGCCCTGATGGGCACCCTCTAGCAGACAGAGCAGGGGCCCCTGCGACGAGCTCCCCAGCGCCCTGGGCCCAGAACATTTCTTGCTCTCACTGGCCTCTGTGCTTCTGGAATGGAGGGGTTGTTTTACCTCTCTCGGGGACTGGCCCTTCAGAGTTCCTCTGACATTAGCAAGGGCCCAAGAACCACTTGGTGAACGAGTGAAGGGCTGGACTTAGTATGGTTGGGTAATAAGCTGGCTTCCTTTTCTGCGACTTACACTCATGCTTATTTTTTCTCTTTTGTTTACATGTTTAGAAGGAAGCAGCTCTCTGGTACCCCAATGCCGTGCAAAACTGAAGATGTCAAAGACTCCATCCTCAGAGAGGCAAAAGGGCTTGGTTGGCTCCCTGTCAATCAAGGAAGATGGGAACTGCATGAAAATCCGGAGCAGGAAAGTTAAAACAGCTGTTCTGCCATTCTTTTCAGGTTTGCCTGTTAAATGCTGCAGGAACTGACTGTACTTGAACTGTGGTTAATTCATTTCTTAAAAAGTAACAGAGTTAGGGATTTAGCTCAGAGGTAGACTGCTTGCCTAGCATGTGCAAGGCCCTGGGTTTGACCTCCCCAGTCCTTCAAGAAAGAAAAAGTAATACATATTGCATACTCAAGAGCAGTAAAAACATAAGTCCCCATGAGGAATTGTACTGAGTGTTCACAGTAGCTTTTGGATTAGCTAATGAGAGAACTTCTCAAATGTTCATCACTAAGGGAATGAATAAACATCACATATGTGTGATATATGTATTCAATGGGATGTTATCCAATAGTATGAAGGAGCAAATCCTGTGACAGACTTGCAGAATAACTGCTGGATGAAATAAGCCAAGCACAAAGATTACATGCTGTATTCTCTTGCCTATAAAATGCTAGAAAGTGTAAACTAATTAATAATGGCATCAGATGGGTATTTGCCTGGGAATAGGATGGAAAGAGAAAGAGTGGGAGGAGATACTAGAAAGGGACGTGGAGGCAGTTGGGGTTGATGGCTATATCGATGATTTCAACTGCGATGGTGATTTTATGGAGCGTACATATGGCAAAACATCAAGCTGCACACTTTGGTCATTTACTTATTTTCGTGGTATGGGGATTGAGCCTAGGGCTTTTGGATTGAGCTATATTCTCAGACTTTTTTTTTTTTTTTTTTTTAATTCTGAGAGAGGGTTTCACTAAGTTGCTAAATTGCCTGGATTGGGTTCCAATTTATGATCTTCCTGCTTGAGCTTCCCAGACTGCTGGGATTACAGCTGTGTGTGCCACCCTGCCCACCAGGCCTAAACTGCACAACTTAAATATGCACAGTTTATAGCACATCAATTTGACCTCAGTTAGAGCTGTAAAATTAAAAGCACCATAACTGCAGCTAGAAAACAACTTGAAAAGTGGAGAGGAGCAGAGTGGTTCTTCTTTATCTCCGTGGTGGGGAGGAAAGCCTGTGTGTGTCAGGCTCTTCTATGGTGTCAATGGCCATGACTCAACTCTTGGAGGTGCTCTAGCCTTCCCCTCTTTGGCAGTTAACAAAACAAAACAAAACAAAACAAAACAAAACAAAACACAGAGACATTAGAAACTTCCCTGAGGCCTCCCGCCCAAATGTAGTCAGTTCTGAGAGGAACTCTCTGAGACCAGAGTGCCTGGGCCCTCCCTCCTTTGTGTTAGGTCCCTCCCCTTTTAGGAATGCTGTTCTGAAAAACACCAGGCTGCCTTGGTAGCATCCCGGGTGGGCAGAGGACTTTGGTTTATGACTAGGCGGGGAGCTATTACTCTGTTCTGCACATAGCAGTTGTCATTCGGGTGGGGATGGCAGGAGGTCTGCTGAGAAGGGCCAGATTTACGAGGGTGTGGTGCTCCCCAGCTCCAGCCCACACAGGGTGAATGGCAATTCCCACAGCCATCTACACCCTCACCTGTCAACTCTCTTCTTGCAAGACAGCCCCCCTATACCTCAACTTCCCACCTTTAGCCTCAGCCTGGGCAGAAAATTGAAAGAAGAGGCACAGGCCTATGGATGCCCAAGTGGATGGGGGCAGTGCTCTGGGATTGTTTCATGACCCTTGTCTCTGGAAGCAGGGTCTGATCTTCTGGTCTGGGTCTCTGCATGGAGGCAATCAGGTCTTAGAGAACATAGGGCAGACTGAGAACCATAGGAACCAGGAAGCCAGCAAGGAGCAAGGAGCATGGAGTGGTGGGTCTGGTGGACTTAACCTACAGTAAGGTCTGTGCTGTACATTCAGGCTCACCTCTGCCTCCCCAACCCTAAAAGCTTTCATGCTGGCAGAGCTTCAGGCGTGTGTGTGTTTCTTCCACCTTTCAGTCCTATGCCTTATAGAGTATAAGCACTCATGGAATATTTGGTCTTAGCACCAGGCTCAGAGATGACACCTGCTACCTGAAAGCCACAGAGAAGAGAAGAAAGGGACTCAGGAGATCCAGAGGAGCCATTTCTGGGGTGAGGAGCTGGGATGGGGGTGGACAGAAAGAGGGTGAAGTGGGGGAGTTTCCTAGGGCAGGGCAGACAATACGTGGGGATCTTTGGGAGAGTAAGGACAAGCAGTAAAGGCCTGAAGGCAGGGCATTGGCCCTCCCCGAAAGGTGAGCAGGAGGCTGGCTTCTAGGAGACCTGGCCTGATTTCTCATTGCATGAGGGTAAAGGTGCCCCTCCCCCCCAGGTTCAAGGATGGGCTATTGGCTTCCACGGCTTGGGTGCAGTGGGCAGGGCCCCACCCCAGGCCCCAGGGTTGGCAGGACACCAACCCTGACCTCCACACAAGTAGCTAACAGCACCTACCCTGGCTAAATCACAGATTCCAGAGCCTTAAGAGATCAAAAGACATCACACTGGTTAAGACCTTGTAGGGCAGCTATAAGTCAAAGAATTCTGCTGTCACATAAACATCAATGGCCTATGTGATTTTCCACCCCATTCTTCCTTCCCATGCACCTGCCTCCTAGAAATGTCACCAGCTTTGGCCTCTGTCATCCCTTGGAGCACTTCATGACAGCCCCTGAGAGGCATCTTCCAGGCCTCAATGTCCCAGAATACCCTCTCTCCTCAGAATATCCAGGTGTCCCCAGGACTAAGATATGTTCCTAGTGGTGGCCTTTTAGTGCTAAAATGGGGGCAGCTCCACGCCACTAGGACCCCTGGTCACTCTATTGCCCTCCCTACACTCGGGCCGCCTCCCTCTCCCAAGGTCCTGACAGTGACCGTGCCATTGCAGGCCTGGTATGTTAGCATGCACTGTCTCTTCTCTAGAGCCTCCATGTAAAGGGAAAGTCTTCAACTATCGCCAGCCTGCCACACTCCCTCCAGCCTCTCATGCATATCCCTAAGCCTTCTTGTGGGTTCCTTCTTTCTCCCACCCCTCAAAACTGTTCAGGCCTTTTCCTCCTGGACAAACCTTAGGGGAAAGTAGGGTCTGTCCATCCCTGCCTGGCCTTCCAGCCTTGGCCTGCCCTGATGTCTCCCATTTTCTGGGGGCAGGAGAGCCCTGAAGACTCACACACCAGGGCTACTTCCATGAGGGCCTCCAGGCCAAAGTCTGACTTCTACTTTGGTTCTGAGCCTGTGTGACACCATGCTGTGGCTCCGAGGAACTCTGCTCACTCCTCCCCTGCCCCCGTTCCCTGCCTGGCCAGGAGAGCCCTCCAGTATGTGGATCCAGGCTCCTAAGTGCCTCCAGCTGTCCTCCAACCAAGCCACCAGAACCTTCCTGGCTTCAGCTTCTGAAATTGCCTGTGGTCTCCTTAGCCCTAGCAGGTAAACCTCCAGCCCCTCCCCCCACCGCTACCACCACTTTGCCCCTCAGTCTGTCTCCAGTGACTTTCTAGTCAGGTCTGCACCTGATGCATCTTTCGGGTCAAGCCACCATCACTTTCCCACCTCTGCCTACTCAGCTCTCTCAAGGGCAAGTCCTGGTGGGCAGCACTCAGCCTCTTCCTGGGACAGTTCTGGGCTGGGTTCGAGGTCAGAGTTCTGGAAAGCACTACGAGTCCCCTTTCACCCACCATGGAGAACAGAAGCCTAAGCATTGAGGCCCCAAGGGTTCCACACCAGGCAGCCTGCCCTCTCTGGGCTGGGCTGGGGAGCACAAGGTGACTTGGCTTGGGTGTGTCCTGGATGACACAGTAGGATGAGTCCCAGCCAGCCTGCCTCCTCACCACAGGTGCCACCCTGCTCTAGAGTATGTGTTCTTGGGAGGCGGGGCCCAGACTTTGTCCTGGCAGCCTGACCAGCCGCCACCTTGTGCATGCAAATCTCTCTACCTGACTTCCACCTGGCCTAGCAGACTGGGTCACAGAGCTAAGAATGTCACTGGGCATGGTGTTGTACCCCTCTCATACCAGCACTCAGGAAGCTGAGGCAGGACAGGGGTCACCAGTTCAAGGCTGGCCTGGGCTACATAGTGAGTTCAAGCCAGCCTGAACTACACTGTGAGATCCTACCTTAAAAAAAAAAAAAAAAAAGAATATCCACAGTGGGGCATGGGGCAGGAGAAGGTGTGGAGAGAAGGAATTCTGTGCAAAAGCTACTCTGTCACTTCTCCCACCTGAGTGTGGCCTAGTCAGCAGTGGTGGTCATGCAGTCAGCCTTGCCCACCCTTTTCCTCAGCAGTCACCCACCTAAAGCTGGCAAGTGACCCAAGTCAAGCCACCATTACTTTCCCACCTCTGCCCACTCAGCTCTCTCAAGGGCAAGTCCTGGTGGGCAGCACTCAGCCTCTTCCTGAGCCTCTGGCCAGTGACCTGTAAGATTTGACCAATGGGATGTGTGCTTAGGCCAGCCTGGTGAAGCCAGAGGCAAGTGATACACAGGACTGCTTCTAGGAGATCTGGTACAGCCTGGAACCTGAGGGAGGACAGGGCAGGGGGAAGGGAGCAGGCAGGGAGGTCTCCTCAGAGGGGATGTTGAAGGGCTTGGCCTTGTAGGGTTTGCCAGGCAGGATACATGAAGGGAGTCACAAAGAGGATGCTGAGGATGCTCAGGACCTTCTCCCAGGGGGTCCTGGTTGCCTCCCCCCACCCCACCCCCTGTAACCAGGAAGCCTTTGATATGCTCAAGCCATCTCCAGCCTTGGGGGCCCCTCAGAAGAAGCTCAGGAGGTGGCTACCATGAAGTTACCTGAGGCAAAAAAAAACAAAACAAAACAAAAAAAAAACCTGGGGCCGGGGAGATGGCTCAGTAGAATAAGTGCTTCCCTGGCAAGCACAAGGGCCTGACTTCAATCCCCAGTTCCGCAAAAAAAAATTAAAAAAATACCTGTTAAAATCCTTAATCTGAGGGGGCAGGGGATATAGCTCAGTGGCAATAAGTGCCTGCCTGGCAAGTGCAAGGTCCTGAGTTCAATTCCTGGTACTGGAAAAAAAAAAAAAAAAAAGAAAAGAAATCCTTACTCTGAGCCACACTTCATTTTGGAGCCAAAGCCTTGCTGTGTAGCCCAGGCTGGCCCCAAATTCATCATCATCCTGCATCATCCTCCTGAGTACTGGGATCACAAGGTATGTGCCATAATCAGGTGCCCTCTGTTCCACAGATGGATGTTACCTATGTTATCTCCAAATGCCTCAGTGGGGATGTGCACCTCTTTCACACAGGAGGATCAGAGATCATGACCAGTAAAGAAGAAAGGACCTAGAGTCCACCACCTACCCCACCCTGCCTCACCCTGGGATAAGGCTGAGGAGCAGGCAGGGAGGGCTCAGCTATGCTGCAGATGGTGACTGAGTGGCCACCTGTGCCCCTTCACTCTCCCTCCTTCCCCTTTGCTGCTCAGAGAGAAGACCGTTTGAAGCTCCGTTGTCCCCAAGATTGGCTCCAGGTCTTTTCTAAACACTAATGATGAGGGGCTGGGGAGATGGCTCAGTGGAATAAGTGCTTCCCTGGCAAGCGCAAGGGCCTGAGTTCAATCCCCGGTTCTGCAAAAATAAAAAATAAAAAAATAAACACCAATGATGAGGTCCAGATACCTTCCGCCAGGGGTGGGGCTGTTGCCCTAGATGGGGGGGGGGAGGGGAGGGGGAGGGAAGAGCCTGACCAAGGCCCCTGCCTTGAGATGTTGGAACAAGCGGCCGAAAACCTGAGTCTAGAGGCACTGGACAAAGTGAAGTCTGCACAGAGGTGGCAGGGAAAGGGGTGTGCTGGCTTCTGGTCTCATTTGGAATACACAGAGCTGTGCCTCCTAGGAAGAAGGTGCCATCCCTCTGGGCCCATCTCCTTATCAACTGAAGAAGTCTTTCCAGTCTGATGGAGATGGAAGGTGAGGGTGACCTACATTTGGGAGGTGCTAGAGAAGAAAAGGGGAGAAGAAACGTCTATGGGACGCAAGCCAGGCTCTGTGACACTGCTGCCCTCCCGTGGTAGTATGCTGTAACAGCATTGCGGTCTCTTGGGACTATCACCCTTGTCCCCACCCCCACCCCACCCCTCCTCCCTCTGCTTCCTGCGGATTTCTCCCCAGGGCAGAAGGAGAGCACTTTTAGAGGCATTTGCTGCCCAGTTCTCTTAGAGCTGGGTGCATTCTGGAATAAAAGGGGCAGAAAGGCAGGCACATGGTGTGCACAGGATTCCCACAGCAATGCTCTGGAGAGCGTGGCTTTCGGATTTCTTCTGCAGGCACTGACCGAGCCTCCACAGCTTTCGTGGGTCGCTGTGAGAGGCCCTGGGGATCCCAGGCTCTTGATGCTGAGGCACTTGCTTCCTCCTCTCAGAAGCTCCTGCCCAACGGTGGGCCAGACAGGCAAACTGCAGGCTCTGCAGAAGGTGGTAGAAGCGGGGGCTGGTAAGAGGCACAACATACTGTGTGAGTAACACTTGCAGGCACGTGGCCAGCCACTATGGGTCCCTGGCTGTGGGCTTGTCCTGGGCACGTGGGCCTCCAGCCTAATGGGCCAGGAAGCCTCTGCCTCTAGGTCAGGGGCCTTTCTCCCCCTGGGTGCTTCTAGAAGAGCCAGATCTCTTCCCCACGTACTCACTGCTCCCCTGTCCCCACCCTGGCTGAAAATCGAACAAAAATCTTGCCTCTTCCCTGTAGCATCCTCTGTCCACATCTCTCCTCTCCAGAGCTGACCGGAGGCCTAAAGTCCAAGAACAGCAGCAGATACTACTCTCCCTCCCAGACCCGGGCTTGGGGCCTCCCACTCCAGCACTCCTGGAGACTTCCAAGGCTTCTGAGGCTGGAAGTTAGCAGCCTGTGTAGGGCAGGATGCTGAGAGGGTGGAGAAGAAGTGTGTGTGTGTGTGTGTGTGTGTGTGTGTGTGTCCCAGGATAAGGAGCCCGGGTGCGTCACTGTCCCTGTGAAAGGAGATGAGTGTGACTCAGTGGGAACATCCGGCAGGAAAGGAGGAGAGTGCACAGTGGCATTTCCAGCAGGATGGGAACTGTGGCGCTGCAGGGATGGGGGGGTGGGGCTGGGTGAGGGCCTGGAGTGAAAAAGGCATAAGTGTGGTGGAGTAGAGTGGGGGGCAGGGGAGGATGGAGAGAAAAAAGAGGAGCAGAGACTTGGCCTCTGGCTGCCTGGGCTGGTTTGGGAGGACAGAGAGAAAGAGAGGCTTTCTGCTCCTGACAGAGGGGAGGTGGAAACTGAGGCCTGGTCAGGGAGGGATGTGGGTGGGGAATGCCAGAGTCCCGACACTTCAGGGCCTGGAAGTCAAGGTCTTGTAACCACTGAAACAGAACCCAGGTTTCGCTAATGGAGAGTGTACCACTCTCCCTGGTACTCCAAGCCTTGGGCCTGAGAGATCCCCAGGATGGGACTGCTTGGGCAGGGAGGCCCTAGCCGCAGCTGTGTGAGGGTGATTTGGGGGAGACTTTCCTGGGAAGGGCTGCGTCCTTCCTCTGGATCAGAGGCTGGAAAGGAAGAGTAAGACCAGGAAGGGCCGGGCATGAGGAACCCTGCGAGGAAGGCTGTCGGCAGCTAAAGCAGCTAAGGGCTACGGGCCCCAGAAGGAGGCCTCATACTAAGGGCCAGAAACCAGACAAGGCGCCTCCTAAGAGCAGCCGCCCTGGCAGATGCAGACAGTGATCGTGACTTTTAGGTATTTTAGGTATGAGGTCATGTGTGGTGGCTGGAAGTGAGCTTGAACCGACTGCCTTAAGCCAGTGCTGATAGAGCCAGCTGGAGACAGAGGCCGCCTGAAGTGGGGGCCTGCTGGGAGGGACAGACACTGGGCGGGCAGCCGCAGGTGAGGTCCAGCCTCAGGCAGGGCTGGACAGCCAGGCCTCCTTATGTGGGCTTGACTCACCAGGGAAAAGTCCCTGGGGATGCTGAGCAGGGCAGGGAGAGCTGCTGGGCAGGACCAGCTGGCTGCTGGTGCCCTGGTCCTCGCCCTCTGTCAGTGGAAGGGTGGGGGTGGGGGTGCAGCACTCCTGGCTGGGAGCCCAGCAGAGTCTTTTGTAATCACAACATGATCTCGTGTGCTGAGCAGCGAAGCCGGCAGGGAGAGGCCAGCAGAGGCCCGGCTCCGGCTTCCCTCCTGCTCTGGCTCCCCCAGGGCTGCTCTGGAATTCTCTCGGTGCCCGCTGTTGTCATGAACCCAGCTGTGAGTGGCACCTTGCCTTTGGCGGGGGGCTTCTTGGGGCTGGGAGAGGGCTGAGGTAATATACAGTCATGGTCTGGGGGCAGCTGGGGACAACTAGGCCTGGGAAGAAGAGGCTTGTGACCAGGCAGGTGGAAGGCTGGGCAGACACTGGCATCATAGAGACCCCACACCAGATGGGGAAGGAATGGGAACTTAATGCCAAGACCCATCTTGTCCAGGGTGGCTCCCCGTGTGACAGAGCTGCCTTTCCTGCCTTTTGCCAGTGGCGGCTAGGTGGGAGGGCCGGGCCTGTGGGAGTCCTACAGGCCAGACACAGGCCAGGGAGTGGGGTCCAGGCCTGTGAGCAGAAGACCAAAGCGAAACGTCTCTTTTTTCTGTGGTTCTGGATTTGGGAGCCAAACAGCCCCCTGCCCCCGCCCCGACCTCCTGAATCCCCTGGCAGCTTCCCAGTCACGGCAGGTTCTGCTGCCAGAGCCATTTATAACTCCCATTCCAGGCTCTGCTTGCAGTGGACTCCCTGGGGAGCTGGGGGGAGGGGCAGCTGGCTGCTGGGAGCCCTGGCCCTGGGTAGGAGGCCCTGACCTGAAGCACTGGGAGGCAGAGACCAATAGACAAGCCCGGTGGGGTGGGCACCTGGGGACTTCTATGAGCCATCTTCTGAGGAACTTGCTTCTGTCTTGCACGACCTTCCTGCGGATTTGGGACCAGTTCCTTAGGTGGTAAAAATTAGTGTACGTGGGAAAGTTGGGGAACTGGGAAGGGGATAGCAGTCAGGAGCCTGGGGTCCCTGCTCTCTGTAGGGATCTCATAGAGCGGAGTCCCTGATGAGCAGGCAGGAGGAGAAGGATGCAGAACTGGATCGCAGGATCATCGCCCTGCGCAAGAAGAACCAGGCCTTACTGCGCAGGTACCAGGTGAGCAGCTGGGCACGGTGGGGGCGGGCTGGCCAGGTGATGCTCTGGCCAACACGCAGATGCCTGCCTGCATGAGGCCAGCTTGGAGGGTCATGGGCCCCTCTCAGAGGCTTGCTGGGGTCTCAGACACTTGCTTGGGGCTCCACTGGTGTCTGTGTAGACTGTCATCGTCTATGTCTGTGTGTCTGGCTAGCTGTGGCCTGTGCTGACCCCTGGCCCACCCACAGGAGATCCAGGAAGACCGTCGGCAGGCAGAGCAGGGGGGCATGGCTGTGACCACACCATATCCCCTCCTACCAGACAGCCTCACTGTCACCATCAGCCAGGTTCCTGGTGTAAGCCTCACCCTGGAAATAGGGCTGGGTGGCAGGGTGGGGGCCTGGCCCATGCTGGGGAGGACACCTGCCCCTGCCCCCTTCTCTCATTCCCTGTTCTAGGGTACATCCACAAGTTCTCATCTCACAGCCCAGCCACTATTGTCCCCTCAAAGGGCCACAGCTGAAAGGTCACTAGCTAGAAGCCTTGTATTCTTTCCCAGCCCAGCAGCCCTGTACCGATAACCTAAAGCACAGGCTGCTCCTAACTGCAGACCCTAGGGACTGAAAGCTCTGCAGAAAGTGTCAGACAGAGAAGTCAGGGCTGAAGGCCAGGGGCAGAGTCTAAGAGACAAAGCCCTACTGTCTGGGTGCCTTGGAGTTCCCAGCTCAAGATGACAGGCCACTGTGACATTTGAGGCCCCAAATGGCCCTGGGCTCTGGACACCTAATGCCATTGGTATGTGAACTACCAGTTTCTCTGAGGACATCCTGGGGAGGGTCTAGGCTGGAACCCAGGTCTAGGGATCCACCCAGAGGACCCCATACCATCTCCGTTCAGTAAACCACATGGTGTGAGGGAATGGGCTTCTCATGTGGTAGGAGAAGCGGGTTGTCAGCAGGAACTGGGTAAGGAGCCCTCTTGGACCTGGAGTGGACAATGAAGTGACTGGGGATGAAGATGGAGAAGACCACAGGGGTACTTTCTGCTTGGGAAAGAGAGTGGACCTGGCCGTTACAATGGAAAACAAAGCCAAGGTGAGCATAGCCAGGGCCATCTAGGTCCTGGTGGGCAGCCCCTCCCCTCCAGGCTCTGTCACACTGCCCATCTTCACCTTCCCTAGGCTAAACGGATTGTGAGTGAGAAGCCCACTAGAGCAAGGAGCCAGGGTGCAGATGGGTCACCTGGAGGAGGCTGTGGCCAGAGCTCCCCCATGCAGATGGCCATCAGCTCAGATTCTGGCCGGAAGGTACATCTTCCAGAAAGGATGGGGACATGAATGTGGCAGTCCCCATTTTGGGAAGCAAAGAAGCCAACTGAGTTAGGATGCTCCTGTGCAGGGACCAGACAGAAGCAACCTCTGTGAGAATTCTCACCCTCCATCCCCTCATTGTCAGGCTCACCATAGTGTGGGCCTCTCAGAAACAGTTTAAGTCAGAGAAGTGATACAGCCCCCTTACCCTCTCAGTCCACCTGGTGGCAGGATGTGGGGATGTAAGGGACTGGCCTTGTGCCAGCTGTGACCTCTAGGTGGCAGCAGCCCCTAGCCCTTGCTCTTGCTCCCAGCCTCGGGAAGACCCTCCCACCCTAGGTTGGCTAGAACACCAGCTCTGCCCCGTGGGCCTGGATGCAGATGAGGAAATGATGCACAGAGAGGTTGAGTTACTTGCCCCAAAAACATAACTAGCAAGAGGGAAGAAACTACCCATGGCAAACAGAGAGACCTGAGAGACAGAACAGACCTTATTTTTAGATGAAGACACAGAAACTGCAAGAGAGAAAGCATCAGGAAGGAGAATCTCTGGGTCTCCAGTCCTCTGCCTGCCCTTGTCCCCGAGGCATTGAGTGTCTTCTTCTTGCAGGGTGCTCGGGAACCACGGAGTCCAGGCATGGTCTCAAGCCCAGCACCCCGGCAGCCAGTGGGGAAGGCCCCGGAGACAGTGGGCTGGGACTATGCACTGTGGAAGCAGGAGCGGGAGCAGATTGACCTGGCCCGCCTTGCCCGGCACAGAGATGCACAGGGTGACTGGCGCCGCCCGTGGGACCTGGACAAGGCCAAGCCCACGTGGGTGGCAGGGCTGGGCAGTTTGTGGGACTGGGTAGGGCTAAGTGTGGGTGTTGCCTAGAGCATGAGGCCCTTCCTGGGCCTTCTGGGTAGGCCTGGGCTCAGGGCTCTGTGTCCCTGGGCCCCCCTCATTGGGCCCACTGTCTCCCTGCTGCCCTGAGCTCTGGGGCTGAGGAAGGCAGTGTCAGTGTGGGGCCTGCGTCACACCGCCTCGAGCGCCTGACTCCCTGCTCTGTCTACACAGGCTACCAGACTGCAGCAAGCCCCAGGACGAGGGTCTGGCTAGGGTGGGCAGCAGAAAAGGTGAGCACACACCCACTTGTCCCCTGTAACTTGGCTTCTTTCTCACACACACACACACACACACACACACACACACACACACTTCTTTGTCTATTGACTACCAGCTTCTTTTTAGGGCTGAAAGGAAGCCTGGGAAAACATCTTTGTTTCCTTCCTTCTTTTCCTGCACTGTCAGATCATCCCTCCCATCCTCTAAAGTCCACAGCTCTTGCCAGGTTCTGGCCCCTGCAGATCCCAGGAAACAGCCCTGGGTCTTTCCAGGAGCTGCTCCCTATCAGGTCAAAGGCCTGTGGCCCTGGCAGGCTACATCAACAGCCCTTTGGGTTTCTGGCACTCTCATTTTACATATAAGAAAGCTGAGGCCACAGATTTGGGTGGCCTGCCCAGTTGGTGAGTCAAATCACCCAATCACATACTAGAGACCAACATGGGTCTCCAGGCCAGAGATCTGTTAGGGAACCAGAAAACCCACAAGTGGATCAGGACTGACAACATTCTAGTGCATAAAGAATGAGTGTTTCTATTCTGAATCCTCTGTTACCAAAACCTTTCTCCCATTTCCTTTGTCCCCTGTTAGGTTTCAGGGGCCAACGGAAGCTACAGCCCCCACTTTTGTCCCCTGATGGAAAAGGTGAGTTGGAGGAACAGGGTGTCATTGGCTGGTGAAAGTACAAGCTGCTATGCGCTCTTCTCCTTGCTTTATGAACCATTTCTTGCAGATCGGGGAGGACAGCCTGGCAGACCTCCAGTGGTGCCAGCCACAGGCAGCAAACCCCGGGGGAAGGAGAGGCTAACTGGCAGGGCCCGAAGGTAACAGGTAGCAGGGGACAAAATCAAGGCAGGCATCTAGGTATCCTGATTTCCTGGATGGCCCTGGTACAGGTGCCTGCTCCATCCCCAGGGCCCCTAGCGCCTGGCTGGCTGCTGCCTGGTGCAGGTTAATGAGATGCCAGGTGAGGCCAGCAGAGGCAGCAGCTGGGGAGCCTGGTGCCCAGGGAGGCTGCATAATTACAGCATCTCCTTTCCCCTGGGCAGTGATGTGCTCCTTTCCCAGGCAGTACAGGCAGAGACATGTCTGGAGTCCCCACGGAGCTCAAGGTACAGTAGGTAGGGCCAAAACAGCAGCTGGGGACCTAGGATGGAGCCAAGGTGGGTGGCATTCAGAGGAAATGGGTGGATTTGGGGAACAAAGTCAGGCTGGCAGGGAAGCATCCTGGAGCCTCACTGTGACTCCATTGGTGCTCCGAGACCCTTAGGCCTTAGATTCTCCTGGAGGACACAGGGCTTCAGGTATGGGGGGAGTGACATGAAGTGGGGGGATGGTAGGTACAGGGCCTTCATGTTCTATGTTCTGCAGGTGGGAAACAAAGGAAAATGAGGAGGAGCTGCAGAATCATGAGGTGGGTTTCTGGGCAGAGCTGGGGCAGGGTGGGGATGTGAGGCCTGAACTCACCATCCAGCTGTGCTCTTCTCTCATTTCAGGGAAGCCAGAGCACCAGAAAGCCTTCAGGGCCAGAGGAAGAGCATGCACAGAAGCAGAGCAACACGAAGTTGGATGGACTGAAGGGGAGTCTGGCAACCAGCACAGCCCTGGCCTCCCCAGAGGGGCCAAAAGGGGAATCAGCAGCCTTGACAGCCAGCTCAGACCCTGGCTCTCCACAAAACACTGACCTGGCTCCCCTTGACCTCTCTCTAGGGAGAGCCAGAAGCCCCAGGCCTGGAGAGAGTACATGTACGCTCAGCCCAGGGCTTGGGGCCCAGGACAGCCCAGTGTCCCTGCTAGATGGCTCCCAGAAGCAGCCCCTGGAGGGTAATGACTACCAGTGTGGGCCAGAAGTCCAGAGTTTTTCTGGACCACAGAAAGGAACAGGGGTCTTAGAGCCCAAAGAGGACAGGGCTAGCAAAGCTGGGGTCCAGAAGAGCCTGGCTCCAAGAAGCAGGCCTCCCAGAGGAAACAGCCAAAGAGGGAGAGGCACAGGTGTGAGGAGCAGGACAGGAGGTCCTGGCCCTTAGGGGAGATGCTGGGCATGGCTCACAGGGAATGGGAGCCGTGGTGAGGAGGAGGGAGAGACTTGATCAGGAGAGTGTATGCTGATTGTCTGGTTGCTGGGGGCTTGTGCCAGCCTGGCTGAGCAGTGTGGCAAGCCCTGAACAGAGCCACCTCCTACCCTCACAAGCAGGCTCGGGCCCTGGCCTGTTGCTGTGCTGAGGCCAGATAGCCAATGCTGGCTCCCTGACCTGTGCCCATTGCTGCCCAGGTCATGAGCCTTTTCCACCATGGTGACAAAACAAGGCTCGCTAACCCCCAGAACCTGGTTTTGCGGGCTACCCATCGTCTCTAGGGCCTGGCCTCCCTCTCCAGCTGCAGGCTTCCGTCTCCGCAAGTCCAGACAGGCTCACAGCTGGCAAGGGGAGCCCAGGCCCAGGTCCTACTTTCCATGCTCCTACCACCCAGCCGATGACTCACAGTCCCAGGATGGCCAAGGCCAGAGGACCTCAGCCATCACCTGCCATCCTGCTGTTTCTCCTAAAGAAGACTCTGAAGGCCCATTGGCAGGGACTGGGCTGGGCACAGAGTAGGAAAGTAGACTGTGCAAGGAGAGTGTATGGAAAAGCCTCTCTGAAATGGGGCAGGCTAGGGAGGGGACACCTCCTGAGCCCACCGCAGGTGGCCAAGCTCACCACCCTGATACCAGAAGGGAGACAAGGGCCTGGTCCTGCAGCCTAGGGTTATTTCCTGCCTTCTCTTCTTCCTCCTTCCTCCCCTATCTCCTGCACCAAGGCTGTGCCAAAGCAAGAAATCAGACAGTGACAGAGACTGGAGAGACAGGCGGACATTGACTCCAGCTAAGTAGGAGATCGGGTCTTTATCTTTCCTATGTAGTCTCCGCCCAACCCCCAGGCCCACGTCTAGTGAATTATCCAGACGCTGCACAAGCTGTGGCTTCCTTTCAATTCAACAAACATTTCCTGAGCACCCTCTACCAGTAATCCAGCCAGTGGGCGATGGTAGCTTTGCCAACAAGAGGGAGGGAAGAAATCCAGTCATAGGCAGCTCTAGCCTGAACAGCAGGAGCTGTTCTTGGCTGTAGGCACATGGCAGCACTGGGGGCAGGACAGTGGAAGGAGCTAGAGGAGAAATGGCCATCTCTGCTTGGAGGCAGCTGCTCCTCTTTTATGGGATCCACAACCTTTGTACCCAGCCCTCTTGCCTGGACCTCAACATGTGGCCCCTTCTGTTCCCCTCCACTCTGGCCCTGCATGGGTCTTTCTGAGACGTTAGTGGATCTCACAGATTCTCCAAGGCTCTATGGAGAGCCCAGAGGGTCTCTAGGATGTCACTGCAGTTACCCATGAGGTTAGAATTGTGGGGTGGCAGCCCAGTCATCTGCCCTGGCTCTCCACTCCTCCCCCATCCTCTATTCAGGAAAGGGATGGCTTCAGCATACCAGACGGGAGAACCCTTCTAATGCTTTCCTGTGAAGAGTCAGGCAGGTTCTGAAAAGGCCTGAAAGTGAGGCCTCCCGCTCCTACTGCTTTCTGGACTCCACCTTTCGAGCAGGAAGAGTCTCCATGAGAATGCAAGGAGGGCTGGGAGAGAGGGCAGACTCTAAGGGGCAGCTTGCTGACTACATAGGAGCAGGGAAGGTCTACTCTTGCCTGGTAAGCAGGCATCTAGGTTTCAGAGTGGAATGGAAAACAGAGCTTCCTGGGAAAATCTTCAGAAAGCAGTGAGAGTGGTGTTAGCTCTGCATTATATACCAAGACACTGGTCAGGGATGCTAGGAGGTGAATGGGTAAAAGCAGTGGGGGTGGGTTGAACAGAAGTCTGGGAATGCTTGGAAAACCTATGCATGTGGACACATCTGGGCCAGGGTGAAAACTCCCGGCTCAAGCTTTCCTCTTGTCATCTAGTGAGAAATTTACAGTCTTGGAGTATGACACAGGCCCCAGAGCTTGTAATTCCCAAAGGATAAGGCTATGGAGAGCAGGTTCAGAGCCCTTGAGTCCAGATGTCTCTAGAAACATTTCAATAAAAAAATTTGAATTCTGAACTGGGCATGTAGCTCTATGGTGGAGCACATGCCTTAGCCTGAGTAAGGTCTTGGGTCTGAAACCCAGTAGCACATCAAAAACAAAAAGGAGAGAATTTGAATTCTAAATTTCCTATTATATCCCACAGAACCAAAGCTCCCAACTGTACAGATGTGCCTTCATTAAAAGGTGTAGGTTAAGGTACGTTTGACCATGGAATGAGAATGGAGAAATTGGGCAGAGCCCTGGCTCAGCCCTCGAAGCCAGAGGGAAAGTTGGGCAGAAGGGCTTGGAGGACATGGCCCTTCTCTTCGTGGGGCAGCATCCAGAGGGCTGTTAGGAGAAAGGGTGTCCTGAGGTTGAGAGAAGAGAGAATAACAGGATGTCTTCATTGTAGGCAGATGGTAGTAGTGCAGGGAGATAACTTGAGCTTTTCCTGGGAAAGAAGAGCTCTTCTCCAAAATAAGGGAAACAGTGGCTGTGGTGGCTGGCCCTGCTGCTCTAAGATGGAACCAACTGTGGAGATGAAGCACAGCTAGACACCCTCCACAGACCCCGGGATGGTGACAAGCTTGTTGTATCTCTTCTTAGCATTGAGCTGTCTTCTCAGATGCCTGTCTACTCTGCAACCATCAGACAAGACTACTCTTCAAAGGTCTTCATTAACCTTGGCTATCAGGAACCTAGACATAGAGCTTGAAGAGCTCAGCAAGGAGGGGACACAGAGGAGGAAGGAGCCAGCAGGGAGAGGACAGTTTTACCTCAGGCCTCAAGACAGGAGAGCTGAAAAGGCAGAGGCTTCTCTGTCCCAGGCCAATCTTACATAGCAGGGAGAAACCAGAGCAGACCAGGCGTGAGAAAGCCATGTGTTTTGAGGGCAGGGAGCATGATAGACTGAAGTAAGCACTGGCCTTGGAATCTAACAGGCCGAACCAAACCGTAGGGCTGCCATGTCAGTTGAGTGACTGGTCAATTTTAACCTCTAAAGCCTCAGTCTCTTTATCTGCAAAGTAACATCTACCTTGAAGAGTTGTTAAGAAAATTAAAGTTTGCAAATATACCTGACACAGCAGACACTCTAGTGTGCTCAGCTGGCACGCAGAAGGCACCCAGTGGATACCTACTGAATAAACGAAGTGGCTATTTGGTGTGATCTCTGTCTACTTTGCTATCATTCCTTTTATATTCTCTTTTAGTTTCTTCTTCACTGGTGGTCAGCACTTTCCAGGGAAGGAAAATGGCTTGTAAAGTTTATCTAGCCCTCCAGGACAGCTAGCTTCTCCTACCTCCCCCTGCCCCCAGGAGGTGCTCCAGTGTAACTCAACACTTCACCAAATATTCCTGCTTTTTAAGTGACTGTTGTCTATGCTTACCCACTGGCTCTGTCACTTCCTTTTAATTCTTTTTTTCCCCCCTTTAATTCTTCACATGGGAGCAATCTCACAAATTCACACCACAGTTCCTCTTGCTTTAGTCAGAAATCAAACCCCTTGTGCAGTTTGCTCGGTGCATCCAACGGTTAAGTTTTGCCACCAGAAGACATGTTGTGACTGTATTTTCTTATGGTTAGGGAACAGCTAACTAGGGATCCTTGGACACAGGGGATGGCCAGCTAACCTAACAAGGCACCAATTTGGAAGGTCTGACTTCCAGTCACCTGCAGCCTGAGGCACAGGACCAAAAGGTAAAGATGGCCATGGTCTCCCCATCTTCCCCAGCCAAGGAACTGGCAAATATCTCCATATGGCTTTATCTTCTTTGAAGGATGAAATTGAGGAGGAAACAAGGGAATGGAAAAAAGTAAAGACACTATTTCACTTCTGTTTCTTGTGTCATTTATCAATGTCCACAGACCCCACCAGCATCTCCTTCGCAGCCAACCAGGTTAGTCAGGGCTGATGCAAAAGGGCTGACAGGGAGCCCATGACATCTCTGCAGGGGGAGAACTCAGAGCTGGGGCAGGCAGACTAGATCTAGCAGAAAGGCTGCTTTCTCTCAGCAAGCCTGCTGGGGCTACGTCACCACTCACTAAGCATCCACTTGCTGCTGGGGAAGTGAAATAGCACAGACCTGGCACCAGAGAGAACAAATGTGGCATCCACTGCTCCTTTTAAGGACTGGCTTGAGAAGCTGCAGGCCTTGGGCAGGAGGTGTGGCAGACACATGAGTACCTTTGCGGGAAAGGGAGGGAGAGCTCTCAGGCCTGCCTCCTGCTTAACAAGCTCTCTAAGGCAAGTTCTCCTGCCCCTGTCAAAAGTAATGGACAATGTAGGCTTTTTCTTTTTTCTTACTGACTCTGGGGACACAATGTTTCCTCTTCTCCCAGCAGGGCAGCTGGCTTCAAGGAAGCAAAAGGGTCAAAAGTCGTCTTGATAACCAGCTGTCCAAACAGGAGGATCCTGATCCTACATCACAAAATCAGAGGAAAACCTGGCTCAGTGGTTCTCCAAATTCAGTGTGCATCCAAACACATCACCTGGAAAACTGTAAGATGGAAGGGCAGGTTCTATTTCCGAGCTGTTCCTTCAGTTGATCTGGGGTGAGGCCTGTCAGATTCCCAGGGGAGGCTGACAGGGTTGGCCTCGGTGTGGGTGTCATGTTTACTACCTGTCCTTTCACATTTCTTTCTAAGCATTGTTCTTTCCCAAAAGGGCAGACACACCCTTGAAAAATACTATTTCCTGTGTATACACTAAGCTTTACTCTGAAGATCTCAAGGCCCTTTCACATCCAATGCCTTCACATCCAATGTCTCCATTTTCTCTCCTGCCGTCAGTCAGTCTCAAAAAAGGAAGAGGAGCAGGGCCTTAACTGCTGAGATCCCAGGTGTCCAGTCTTCTAGTTCAGGGACTTCTTCTGAGGACACAGACTTCCTAACAGGTCCTAGTGATATCATGAGCGTCCACAGCTCCAGGGCTGTCTGCTATGACTTGACACTGTCCAGGCTACCAGTAGGGAGCATAGAAAGGTCACATAGCCTCTGGTACACAAGGGTGGGGGGAGACCAAACAGTGACTGCGAACACTGAAAGAGCAGAAAAGTTAATATTTAAATGGCAATCAGTGGTGATTAACACAATTGCTGTTTCTTGGATAAATTTTGTTTTGGGATTTTTGAGGCTAACTTGTCACACTGCAGGCAAATAGTTCTTGAATGAATGGTACTGGTTTATGGAAAATGTTCCTAAGAATATTAGGGTTAAGGGGAGATAGCTCAGTGGCTTATGCACTTGCCTAAGGATATTAGTTAAACTCTCATTACTATTTAACCAAAAAGCTATTGTAAAAACATCACCAAAATTAAGAAAACAGGACATCTGTTGGTCTCTTTCTGGTGGCTTAACCAATGTTTCTAGAACTGAATAAGGCCCAGGGAGACTGTCTGGGCCAGAGTGCCTGTCACTCACTGACAGGGACCATTGGGAGCCAGGACTGTTTCTGGCCAAGGACTGAGGAGGACCCAGTAGAGTCTGGGTGTGTGGCAAAGAGAAGCTTTTCTGTTTGTTTAATTAGCTACTGGAGGGAAGAAAAAGCATAACACAGGCTTTCTGGCAGCACAAAACCACAGGCTATGTCAGCAAGTGAAACAGATGTGACCAAAAACTGTCAACAGAACAGCTATTTTTGTAGCTCGGCATTAGGGTTGGAACAGAGGAGAGACAATGAGTGGGTCACAGCCTGTGTCATGTCCACTAAACGCCATATGGAATATAGCTGTGGACTTGTGGTACCTGGAAAGCACTAGAAAACCAGGCATTTCTCCTCTTGAAAATAAAGAAGCTGAGGCCAGAGGGGTTAGTGTAGCTGTAATTTGTAGGGTCCGTTTGTATCATATTATGAATTGTAGTTGCAGTTCACCAGAGGATTATGACAGGGACACCACAATAACAGCAGGGCCAATTCCGCCCAACACCACACTTAATCAGGTGATAAACAAACTGAGCACCTACTGCTCTGTGCCAGGCACTAAGTTAGCACGGGTCATAGGAAATGGACAAAGCTACTGCAGTCCGTCCCTTCCTCCACCCAGGGACGCAAAAGATATAAAAGAAAGGTGCAGTTGTGACTGTTCTATTACTGAATGACAATTCCAGAAATATGTCTTTTCTCCGCAGACAGAAAAGGGAGAACAATTCTGACCCTTTTAAATGGCTGTGGTAGCCCTACAGCTCCTACCAACCTTTCAGTTCTCCTTAAAGAAACATGTTAGGACAAGTAGAACATCTCTGCACTCAGCATTTCAAAATAGGATATAAATAATCAGCTAAAGAACACACTATCTTAGATTCCCCAGTGAAAACTGAAAAATAAGGTAGGCAGAAAAGCTGGAAAACTGTGGTTTCATGCCATGTAGCAATCTACAGCTATTAGGAAAAGCAATATTTCAGAGAAAACTTTCTTTGCATCTGAGCATCCATGGACAGAAAAGCTATCCCCAAAGCTCAGTTTAAAAGGCTCCCCACCTCATTACTTTCTTTCTTTCGTGGAACCAGGGATTAAACACAGGCCCTTGGAACCAGGGATTAAACTCTGGCCCTTGAGCTTGCCAGGGAAGCGCTTATTCCACTGAGCCATCTCCCCAGCCCCCTCCATTACTTTCTAAAACTTCACTTTGACAAAAGAATTCTCTTCCTCTGAATTCAAACTGCTAGGGAATAAGTGTTTACAGTACCTTCTAATATAAGCAAACATCTAGAAACAGTCTGGTAGTCTGGGTGTAGAGGAAAGGAAACACCTCCCAGGAGATCTGTCTCCTAGCTTAAAACTTGATGGGTCATTTTGTGGCTTATTTCTAATGCTTGCAAAGAAAGCTGTTCTGACCACTGCTCCCAGACCACCCAGTCATTCTCATTGGTCAGCAGGCTCCTACTGCTGTGTCCGATGTGAGAAACTGCGACCAGCAGCAGAAGCCACATGTCACCGTCCCCAGAAAGGAGGGGGTGACTCAGAGAACCTAGAAACTCCTTCACTCTCCTCTGCTCTGCCTTACCAAGCCCTTTCACAGAAAGCCATTGTGTAGGCTGAAGAGGGAAATAAAGGAAGGGCGGGCCTTTTCCATGCTTCCCCTGCAGACTGTAAGGTAATGTGAAAGCCCAGTGGCACCCCCAACAGCTCGGTGAAGTGCAGGCCTCAGGGAGCCTACCAACACTGGTTTCTCACTGGCATTTGTACTGGGCAGCATTGTCTAATAATGAGCTGAGCTCAGTTGCTTGCCAGGTATCTTGCAGCACAACTAAACCCTTATATTTATGCTCTGCACTCACACCTTTTTTGTTTAAGGGAAGGAAAAACCTTCACCTTTGAAACAACCTACCTCTCATCTACTTAGTTCTGTGGTAGAAAAAGCTCTGGCCAAACAGTTGGCTAGCACTTCCTGATTTATCTAGGGGCACATGGTTTAAAAGTGAGAAGAGCGATGCCTTCGGGCAGCTTATCCTCACCTCAGTGCTCAGCTCACTAAGTGTGTAACATTTGTGCACACTGGTCTTTCAGCTTCCAGTCTTCAGCTAGGCATCTGCTTGGTCTGGCAAAGCAAAACTTTTTTCAAGGTTGGCAAAAGGTGGCTGAGCTAGATACCACTTTCTTCCAAGCCTAGGACTGCTTCCAAACTAAGATGGATTCTACCACCCTTCCTTAATTCAGCGGAGCCCCAGGCACTGAGAAGAGCAGGGAAATTGCTTCTTCCTCCTCGACCTCTTCATTACCAACCATTGGCCAGATCTTAGAGCACCTCTGCTCCTTCCCCACAAAGCCAATAAGAAAAACGATCAACACAGGCTTAGGCAGAGTTCTTAGAATGTATTTTTGTTCACCTGAAAAATAAAACTTTTAAAAAATATACAGGACTTTTTGAATACAGGTATATTTTGAATGGCTGAATTATAAATAACGTCTCTGGTCATGTTCACAGCTCGGGCTGGAGCAAATGTCCCAATTCCAGTGAAGGCTTTAGAGTCAGGAGGCCAGCTGGACCCACTAGTGGGCTCCCTGGGCTCTTTGATCCATCCCAAAGTGGATTTAAACAGTCCAGAAAGCTAGGATCACAAAGGGGCAGGGTAGGGGGACCTGGACTCCCAGATATTTTCCTGCAAGTCCAAAAGGATTCTTGGAATAAGAGATCAATTTACAAATTATTAAAATATAGGACTAAAAATTCACACAATAAATATAAATTACAGGCTATTATTGAAGTTATAAAGTAGCATTTTGTTTTTTCCCTCAGTCTCTCACCAAAAATTTTAAAAGGCCTCATAGGCTTCCTGATGACTGAAGTCCTAGTCTAAGAAATGCCCTCTAAGTCCAGAGACCTGGGGGTATCACCAGCCTGCTGGAAGGCTGTGACAGCTCAGTCGCTATTTTCTTGGTCACCACAGGACATGGCTTAAAGCAAGGCTGTTGTCCTGTAAATTTGGGCCAGGGCTAACTAGAATGCAGGCCAGAAAACTGGAAAAACAAACTGTTTCAGGACTCAGGTGCATCTGTTTTCCTTTTATTTTTTTTAAGTGCCTCATTTCCCAAAAAAGGAAACAAAAGAGTTTGCTATCTTGTCACTACCCACACTCAGTTGCTTAAAAGCAAGTGGCAGAAGGAAATGCAATCCAAATGGAGGAAGTATAATTCTTGCTGCCCCAAACCTGTATGTTTGTCTATCCCTTGAAGCTTGTCACCTCCTCTGTAAAATTATTGGCTGCATTTAAGTGTGGCTTATCAGGAACAACGAAGCCAAGCCTTTCAACCCTCCCATGGCCGGGGGTCTCTTAAGTGGCTATCAGAGCACAATACTTAAGCACAGTAAGTAAGCACAATCCTGAGTTTGAAGCCCACCTACTGCCCTTTCCCACTCTCTAGCACAGCTCAAACCCAGAGGACACACAGCTCTTTGCACAGCAGATTTCATCCTAATAGCAAATCAGCTGAGTTGCTATCGGCTCAGGAAAAGAAGGCAGAGTTGAACAAGACAAGATCTTGAGCATGAAATAAATTAAGACAAGATCTGGAACCTGACAAGATCCTGAGGAGCAGGGGGGGAAAGATAAAACACTCACCTCTCTACTTACAAAAGCTTGCTTTCTAAAAGAATTCTGTAAGAGGAAGGCCAGATATTAAAGCATAGCAGCATGCTCCTTCTCTTCCATGGTCCCTGGCCCATATCCAGACACGCAGGGCTACAACAGGAAGCCACTATGGTGGGGGCATGAAGGGTGGGAAGCGAAGAGATCAGTACAGTCCCCACCCTGGCAAAACGGCTTCTACTATCATGTCAACAGTCTAAGAATGACTGTACTAGGAACGTCATAAACCTGTCTTTCTGAAATAGGTAAGGGACAGGGGAGAGGGAGAGAGTGATGAATGAAAAAAGCCATGTTTGTGCCCTCTGGCTAGGTGCACTTTGGAGGCCACAAATAGCCCTTGCTGGACCCCATCAGTCAGTAGCTATCCAGGGTGTGGGAGGGTACATAGAGTTCTGGATTATAGCTGCTAGTGCATATGTCAATAACTATATACAGGGATCTATAAATTAAATGCATTTCTGGCCACAGCAACTAGGTTGACATACCTGAGCTCCACTACTTTTGGTGCCCTCTTCCTTTTGAGAGCTTCAGCTTATTAAAAAAGAGCCCCTTACAGCTCCCTCTTCCCCTGAGTCCTGGGGGAAAGTCCCAGTCACCCCTGCATATAGGAAACACCCGCGCTTCAGCACAGAAGGGTTCGGTGCTAAGATCCCCCCCACACCCCTCCTCAGGGCTCTGGGCCCTGGCGCAGCATGGTCCTGGGAAGATCAAACCCCAGTCCCTGGCGAATCGTGGTCCCTGAAGATCCGGTTGCGGGCCACCGGCTCCGGGTGAGCTGGCGATCATAGGTGTGTGTTTGGGGGGCCGTTCACTCCGGGGGAGTCACTCCTGCCCCGTGCTGCTGCAAAGTCCAGCCTCCGAGCTTGGGGAGTATGGCTCCCTGCCGCCCCCGGTGCGGGGACTCAGTGACTCCGGGGCGCCGCCTCTGCCTCCTCCTCCTCATCCGCGCTCCGCGGACGATCTAGCGGCCCAGCCAGGGGACTGTCCGCAGGGGGTTCCGGGGGCTCCGGCCTCGCCGCCTGCAGCGGGGGCGCGTCGCGCGGCGCCTCACGGCGGGACGACCGGGTGCCGTTGGGCCCGGCGGCCGCCGCCCCCGAAGTCCCGGACGGGCCAGTGGCGTTGGAGCCGCCGGAAGGCGGGCCCGCGGCTCCCCCAGAAGTCCCGGCGCCCACCGGCTGCCAGATGAGGCTGTAGTAGACCGCCAGCACGATGGCGGCCAGCGACACGGAGAGCACGTAGGCGAACACGGTGGCAAGCCGGACCCACTTCTTGTTGGTCTTGGCCGCCATCTTCGCCTTCTTGTCCCCGGTGTAGGTGGCCGGCTTGCCCCGCTCGGCCGGGCCCGCGTCGCGCTCCTTCATGGGGGGGCCCCGGCCTTTGCCCCGGTGCTCCACGGCCCCGGCTGGAGGGGGCCTGGCGGCCTGCGACGACTGGACAGGGGGCGGCCCGGCGCCCTCGGTTCCCGGCGGCTCCGCACTCCGCCGCTGCTCCTCACGCCGC